AGAAGAGATCTGAGTACAGGTGGGAGGAGGTGAAGCTATGCCATAGGTGTTTTGCAGTCATTCCCGGCCTGGCAGGTTGATTACTACTTGTAACAGCTTAAAGGACAACTTTGGGGCCCTCCCTGGTGGTGAAACAGGTTAAAGCACAGCACTGTGAAGGTATCTGCAGACTGGCCAGGGAGCCGACCCACGCGGCGCAGCAGACCTCTCCTGACCCACCAGCTAGTCCCCTCAGCAGTGCGTTGCCATTGATGTGACTGTTCTGCTCCCCACTCTGTCTCTGGTGAATCCTCTCACACACACATCAGGCCTGTACCCCAGTTCTTGTACGCATAAGTAAATAACTCTTTAAAAAGAGAGAGAGAACTTTGGAGGCCGTGGTGACCTCTTCACAGGCTTTATTAGGAAGCAGAAGACAAGACAGCAGAGAGCCCCGCCCCCAGGTGACGCCACCTTCTAGGCACAGGTGTGCACACCTGCGCGTGCGCACACACAATCATGCTCAGGTGTCAACAATCAGGCACGCGTGCCCCACGCCTTCTGCGTAAACTAGATCAAGGCCACAGGTGATAGCCACAGAGGCCAGTGGCATAAAAAGTCTGATTAACTCATTAGCCCCACAGACGGAAGAAGATGAACGTGCCTGAGAGGAGGGACCCGCAAATGCAGACTCCTTAATCCAAGCATGCCAGTCATGTTCCAGAAGGTCAGAGGCCCAGGGTCGCTGGATGGAGTGGAAGGAGACTGAGGTCAGATCCTGAAGGCTGATCTCCCAGGGCCTGCGAGGCCAGTTGTGGAATTTGGGGTTCTGTGTCATTGAGACAGGAAGCTTTGAGAGGCTTTGAGCAAAGGCATGATCTGTTAGGACAGAGATTTTAAGAGGATCATTCTAGGTGCAAGTGCAGAGACAGGAGAGCAGTCAGGAAGCAGGGGATGCTAATCCCAGTGGAAGTTCTGGGTAACCTCAAAAGTACTATCCTAGTAAGGGGGTCAAAATCCAGAAAGACAGGTCAATGCTTGTTTAAGAGAGAGAAATGTTTTAACTAGCACCAGGTGATGTTGAACAAGAGCGTCAATGTAGATTAAGTCAACAGTTTCCTTTAAAAATGCACATGTATTGTCTAGTCATTGTCTAGTTTCCTTTAAAAATGCACATGTATTGTCTAGTGCAGATTTTCTTTATGGTAGCAGCCCATTATCATAACCATTTACAATTACTGGTAGTTTAAATAACTGAATTAAATACTGTGATAATGAGACCTTAGTATGAATATTTTAAAAAGTTTCCCAGAGCTGTAAAGTTTTATGTTTTTATTTATTGGTTTAATTTTACTTTTATGTATTGGTTTAATTTTATTTTTTTCTTTTTCATGTTTAGATGCAACGAATATTAAATTATTGCATTATAACTTGGAATCAAGTAGGTACATATTTAAGAGATATAGTAAAAAATGTAGCCTAGAGCAAACTTTCTTTTTCAACTTCATAGCCCTGGCACCTTTCCTATGTAGTTTCTGGTGTCATTTTTTTTCTGCGTCTCTACATTTTATACACTGTTATATTTGCTTTTTATGGCGGGGTTCAAAATACATACCCAAATCAATTTTGTTATAATAAGCACCATCAAACAACAAAATTCAGCTGAGCCAACTTGAAGGCTCTTGTGGGCTCTGCTCCACAGTTGATGAATAGGGCAGCCCCTCTAGCAGATAGCCAGGGGCTCCCTATGGGTGTCCCAGTGAGAGCTTAAGTGGCAGAAAGGAGAGGGCTGAGGAAAGGGGGTGACAGGGGTGTGTGCGGCAGATCACCTGTGGTCTCGTACAGCGGGGCTGTCCCTGCGGACTGGTTTGAGGTCGATTCCTGGGAAAGGTGCACTGCAGCCAGATCAGGAGTCACGGCAGGGTTTGTGACATGTGGGCACACTCCGTCTGGAGTGAGTCGCCACTCGTCCTGTCCTTCTAGTAAGTGTTAAAAACTGCCCATTTTGGAATTTTGAGCACCTCAGTTATTCAGTTACTGGCAAAACAGCATTCCCTGATAAGGAAGGTGGGACACCAGGATTAGGTAATCTGCTAACTAATAGCAGCCTCTGGGAACCAGAAACAGCTCAAATCCTAGATTCTCCTCCTCCTCTTCAAGCTACCTTTACTCTTCTAGCGTGAAATTTTGAGACGTGAGGTAACACTAGAGACGAATACATTTGGAAATAGAATTCCAAGTTTTTAATGTTCTTGACATGTAAAGAAAAAGGCAGTAATTGGGGAAAGCCCGCTGCTGGCCCTGACGTTTGATCTGCCCTCAACTTGCGACAGCAGCTTGCAGAAATCTGCCCTGAAAGGCGGGCCCAGGGGTTGATTTTCAGGCTTGGGCACTGTCTCTCCTTTAACGGCAGCACGGAGCCCTGTCTTGCAGCCTTCACCGCACACAGTGACAGGTCCGCGCGTGGAAAGGCGCGTTCCTGCAAGGCTGCGCGTGCGCTACCACCCAGGGGGAACGCACGCGTGTGCACTCGGGCCACCGCGGCGCGCTCCTTCCCTTTCTCCCTTTGCAAAGCGAAACGGGCTGGCCGTGTTCATGTGACGCGAGTGATGTCAGCCCCCGCCGGGTCGCGTGACCGACACCCCACCTTGCCAGCACCCCGCCCCCGCCCCCGGCGCGGGAGATCTCGCGAGAAGCCGCCTTACTATCAGCACTTAGGCTGCGGGGAGTTGCTCGGCGGGGAAGGTGTGGCCGGGTGCGGACTTCTCGCTTCCAATCCCTCGACGTTTCCGTCCCGGCAGAGGCCGTTGGGGCTCGCCAGGGCCAGAGCAGCCCCCCGTAGAAAGCGCGGGGGAGGTGGGGCGTGACCCCCGGGGAATCAGGGCCGAAGTGCAACGTGGCGGGCCGGCGTCGCCACTCGCAGT